GGGCCCCCCCCCCCCCCAGGATTCCAATATTATTCAGCTCCATTATTCCATACAGGAATTTTTCGGGGGGGGGGGGCTGGAGGTGCTGTTTTTTAAGCTAATGGTACCAAAATTGCAGCAGAGGTGCTGGTGTGTCTCCACTAAATAACCCCAAGTGACTTGGATGAAGGTGTCCGATTCTTTGGAGCCCTGAACAAGGTGCCCCCTCCAGTTATTCTCCATTGTTTCCTGTGGGAGGGGTTCTAGCTTTCTCCAGGGGAAACAGTACGTTCAAACGCAAACAAAGCAATCACTGGCTAAAAGCCTCCCAATGCAAACAGAACCAGCAAGCCCAAAGAACCAGTTCAGAATCAGGGAATCCCGGCAGAAGCATGGGAAAACGTGGCAAGCCTAGCACAGCAAACATAACCAGAAAATCCTCCCAGCCAAATGTATTTAACAAGGAATGCTATCGTAAGCCCAACAAATGTCAAATCAGAGACTCCAATCCAATCGCAAACCAAAGTATGCAAGCCAATGTCAAACCTGAGAATTTAATGCAAACAACAAACCCGGCACCAACCAATCTGAGCAAAGAACACAGTGTTACAAGACCAATGAAACCAATTTTAAAGAACAGAATCCATGCCAAACCCACCAAGCCCTGGCAAGAAGACACTGACACGGAAACACAATAAAACTAACGAAAAATGGTCCTGGGAGCCTTAACATGCTGGCTTCGGATAGTCCCAGTTAATCCTGAAAATTTCTAGGGTTTTTCAGGACCCGTTTCCTGGTAACCTGGAAAGTCCAGGATACGATCTGGACACCCAGCTATATCCAGAAAATAATGTCTGGATATATATTTGGACTGGATGTATCTGAATGCACATCCATCTGAATTATAAAAGCACATTTAAAAGTCCCACTGTGTTCTTAATACACCACTCTGTTTGCACAAGTCAAGTGCTTTGCATAAAGCCACTGACACTGCACTCAAACCAAATCTGTGCCATGTTATGACAGGGTACAATTAATCCTCACAAAAAAGTATTTGAAAGTGGCATATAATAGGCGGGGACGACAGGAAGGATTTTTTTTTTAAGTGAGAAAAGAAACTCAGGAGGGAGGAGAACAGAACACATTTATGTACAGAGGATGTCCAAGTGGTAGGCAGAGAAGAGGACAAAAAATGGGGGTGGGGAGAGAGATCAAGGTGGGACACACACAAACACCATGAGTGCAGGGGAGAAGAAGGAGAGTGTTAAAAAATACACCGGAAAAGCGGGATGAGAGGAAGCGAAAGCAACACAACAGAAAGAGCTCAAGGGGTGTGTGTGTGTGGGGGGAGGAAACTGTGGTGCCCAGGGACACCCAGAAAGCCCAAGGATGGGCAGAAGGGAAAATTCTAAAAAACACTGAGGTGGGTGATAAGAAGACACCAAGCTAAACCACACAGGTTGCCCAGTGTGGGGTGGGGGAGAGACGAAGAAAAGAGTAAGGGAGTTCAGCCCCAGGCCGGCTCCACGCTCCCCTCCCCTTTCCTTTTCCCTTCTCACCCCATCCCCCTTCGGGCCATCCAAAGCCAGCAGCAGTGCTCAGGATGAGAGGAAGGCGGGCTGGGATGGGAAGGGAAAAGATTTCCATTCCCCTTGAGTGCCAGCCAGCTGGTTCTCATTCTGGGCTCCTGGCAACCCTTGGTGTGAGACAAAACCCACAGGCTCATTGGTCCCACTCGGTGGGGAGGCACCCTCCGCCCGGTACAAGCCGAGTGGGCTCCCACTGTCCTGGTCCACAGTGGCCGAATGGGTAGGAAAGGAGGTGATGGCCAAGGCCAGTGCAGTGGCTCACCTTGCAATGCCGCGTGGATCCTTGTGCTGTGGCAGCAGTTGCACAGACCGTCTGATCTCCAGTGACCAGTTAGAAGCCCTCCTGGGTTAATGCTCCACCTGGTCCCCCCACCTGCCAGGAGAGGTGTCAGTGGGTGCCACTGCTCCCCCTGGTTCTCTGTTGCGGCCTCCTAGCATAAGGAGAGAAGGAGAAGTGGGAAAGGAGTCACTGTTAGGCCTCCTGAGCATCTTCTGTTGAATCCATTGAAGCAGTTGCAACTCCGTGATACGACTGGAGAGCTGTCAGCTTCGGTTCTTTTTTAAAAAAATATGAATTGCATGTTAACCCCGCTGTGCTTTTTTTTTTTTTTTAATCCTGTTTCTTTTAGATGTTTGTATTGATCAACATAAAATTGAAGAACTTGAAGAAAGGGCTTTAGACTTCTCAAAAAAGGTTGGTAATTGGAGTAGTTTATTTGTGTAACTTTGAAAGTATGTGTAGCTTTCAGTAATAGATGCTGTCAGTTTCAGACCGTAGCCCTGTTGGTTTGCAGTAGGACAGCTGGGTTGGAGTCCTGCAGCACCTTAGAGACCAATAAGATTTCCGAGGTGTGAACTTTTGAGAGTCAAAGCTGCCTTCGTCAGACACAGCCAGACAGAGAATCTGCTTTGATTTTTTCCCCCTTTGTGTGAACACCAATGCTCCCTCTAAGCTGTGGAGTCTTGTGAGCAAAAATTCTACTTGGTGAGCTACTGGCATTAAAGTTGTGAGCGAGCAGTTTGACTGCTGCATAAATCATCTTGCTCTGGAGCCATCCTTCCTGAGCTAAGACAAAAAAGTGTGAGCCGGAGGCTAGAAAACTGTGAGCTAACTCACACTAACTCAGCTTAGAGGGAACACTGCCCATGACTTCTCATTTTCATGCCAAAATGGCAGCACTAATTGCAGTTGTGGTGCCATGGCTGAACCTGAGTGATCATCTGCCAGGTGTAAATATATAATAACTCAGTATCATCATCTGTTGTTGCAACTTTAATTCCCTCTTGGTCATTCTTTTTCCCTTGTATTTTGGGTTGTAGTAGTAATTCTTGATTGTACAATACTGTTTGGGCGATGAAACAAGCAATTAGGATTTATGCTGGCGCCTCTGGAAAAAAATAATACAGGGATACATAGCACTGTTTGATGTTTGTATGCCTGCTTTTGTTCTAGTTTGAAAATGAATTTGTAGCTCATCAGGAGACAAAGGCACAGCTTCAGAAAGCTGAAGAAAAAATGCATCGGCTTGAGGCTGAGCTAGGAGCTTACAAATGCCAGGTAAAGGAATCAATTTTTGGTAAACAGTACTATGCTAAAGCCCACACGTGCCAGCTGGAGAGAATGCTGGCCTTTGGGTTGGCTTTAGATATGCTTACCAGGTATCAGGTAAAGTGGGAGAACTTCTTTATGTTTTTCTGAAAGGTATATGTCTATGCATCATGTTTTGATGCAATAACCCTTTCTGATTGGTAGCTTAGGTTTTTAAGATGTCATCAAGATGGCCAAAGCCATTTTTCCCTACTTTTAAAAATTTGAGTTGTACCTTGTGAACAGAGTGACCAATTTCAAAGTTTAAAGTGCTGTTGGGAAGCCAATAAATTCCCCTATAAACAGCTATTATCTCCATTGATGACATGTCAACTGGTTTAGGACCTCACAGCTGTTTGTGAGGTCCTAAACCGGTCTATCAACATAATGCAATTTTTTGCCGGTACATCTATACGGGGTTGAAGAATTTGTCAAAGCAGTTATGTAGGCTTGTTAACTTCATTTATTCATGCAGATAGATTCAGGTGGGTAGCCATGTTGGTCTGAAGTAATAGAGCAAAGTTTGAGTCCAGTGGGACCTTTAAGAAGGGTGCGTGCACATGAAAGCTTCTACCCAGAGTTAAACTTTGTTGGTCTTAAAGGTCCCACTGGACTCAAACTTTGTTTTATTAATGCAGATTTAAGGTTTGCTCTGTTTTTGAGATGGTTGCATTAATAAAATCTGAACGTTCTGTTTCTTTCCAGAATGGCTCTACACCTGGAGGTGTAGATGCTTGTTCCTTGCCAACCCTGGAGGGACAAGAAGGTTCAACTGATGCCGTGGGTCACTTAGTGCAGCCTTCAACACCTCTTCCTGGAGCTGTGCCACCCCCACCCCCGCCACCTCCCCCATTGCCCCCCTCATTTACTCCAGGCGCAGGAAAGCTACCTCCTTTGGGTGGTGCTGTTCCTCCTCCCCCGCCCCCACCCCCTGGGGGACAGTGTTCTCCTCACGTGCTGCCATTTGGACTGAAACCCAAAAAACAGTTTAAACCCGAGATCACTATGAAAAGACTCAATTGGTCAAAGGTAAATCAAGAGTGGAAATCACCTTACGTAAAACTCTCTGCATAAATACAACTGAAATAATTCTGAGGCCTTGGCGTTGACAAAACTGTAGGCAGCAAGGAAAGTAAAGTAAATGCTCATGCACCGCAACAGTGGCAAGTGAGGGGGAATCCTGGTGTCCTTCCCGGAGGATGTTGTGAGGCCGCAGATGCATGGCAATTGCTAGGTTAACGCTACGCAGAAGCACAACTGCTGCCAAGCTATTGGGGGGGGGGCTGTCAGTGGAGTCCCTGCTGGGTGCTTTTGGCTAGTCGTCGGACCTGTCCCCTCACAGTCAGGTTGCCCCATTCCCATCAAGTCGACTAAGCTTGCTTCCGGTCACGATCTCCTTCGTAGCACTAAACGCCTCCTCTTGTCCCATGCAAGTTAACCAACAGTTGGGTGTTCCAAAATTTAACTGATTCAATTTTTTTAAGAGCTGTTCATTAAGAATATGGTTGGTCATTGGCTCAGAATGTTCCTTGGTTCCTTTTGGTATTGCCAAAATTAAGCCCATTTAAAACAAACAAACAAACACCTGTTGCTGTGCAAAAGGGCCTCGGCCTTTGAGGGCTGATAGCCTTGTTTGTCCACAAGGCTCCCATTCTGAGTGGTTAGTTTTGTTCCTAATGAGAAAAATGCTAAAAAGTTCGGGTGAGAGCTGCTTCTCATGGGGCATTGCTCCGCTGGTGATGTTCCATCAGAATCTTCAGTGTGGGGGATGTCAGCGTAGAGGAGGTATTGAAGCAGGATGTTTAGGAAGAGCAGTCTCAGCACCACAGTGCTCACAGAGAGGAGTGGGAAACGGAGTGACGGTGAAGGCACCTAGCTCGAAGCCGAAGGATGTAGCCCTGCTGTGTTCTGCTCCTAATGTGTAGGTGGCTTGTGTGCCCACCCACACCCATTGCAACGGCTGCCGAATGATTTATTTAAAGATTTTCCCCTGGCTTTCCGTCATGTCAGGGTACCATAAGCAATTCCTCGCAAAGATGACAGACAAGCAGTGTGTGTGTGTGTGTGTGTGAGAGAGAGAGAGAGTGCACCCCACCCCACCTCCCTAGTGGGGGGATGGTGCTTCCGTGTCCTTTCTCCAGGCTTCAGGATTTTCTGGCACTGTTGCTCTGGCTGCTGCCCCCCCCCCCCTTCAGCATTTTCTGACCATGAACAAAAATACTTAGAAACAGTTTTTCAAGATTATATTCAGTAGTCAGATGCTGGCGTGTGTGGGAGGGGGGGATTTTGACTTCTGTGCTGGCCTACTAGAGATGCTGACAGCTTCGTCACCGCCTCCTGACTTGCTTCACCCCCCGGGGATTAGAGGCTGGAGAGAGGAGTTCTCTGCCGGCGCTGGGTCAAGTCAAACTAGAGGGTGCCTAGACTCCCCCCCCCCCAATTTATAATTTTTTATTTTGAAAAAACAACAACTGAAATATTATACAGTAGTTGAGAAGGTTTCAACAAGGTGTCAAAGCAACAAAAATATTTCTCTCTAAGCAAGGTGCAGGATTAAAACAGTTAAACTGCACATATTACACCAGTTTGGTGTAGTGGTTAAGTGCACGGACTCTAATCTGGGAGAACCGGGTTTGATTCCCTTCTCCTCCACTTGCACCTGGCTGGATGACCTTGGGGAAGCCATAGTTCTGACAAGAGCTGTCCTTGAAAAAGAGCAGTTTCTGTCAAGAGCTCTCTCAGCCCCACCTACCTCCCAGGGTGTCTGTTGTGGGGAGGGGAAGGGAAAGGAGTTTGTAAGCCGCTCTGAGACACCTTTGGGGAGTGAAGGGCGGGGTATAAATCCAATCTCCTCTTCTTCTTCTAAAAGTACAACAAACTTTGATAGTGCTTATTTTTTGGAAGAACCCCTCCTACAGTGAGATATTCAACAACTGGGAACCACATTGCTTGGAAGGGTGCCTAGACTTTGATAGACCAAGGGCCTGATTCAGTGTAAGGCAGCTTCATGTGTTCGTATGTTAATGAGGTCCGAGCCATTGGCAAATATATCTTTTTTGTAACAGGAAGCTCATTAATAAGATAATAATTAATTCCATCTTTATATGCAAGGTTTTTTAATAAATATCTTTATAACTCATTACTATTGTTGTTTGCAGATTAGACCACACGACATGTGTGAGAACTGCTTCTGGTTAACAGCAAATGATGGCAGATACGAATCTGCTGATCTGCTGGGCAAACTGGAGCTCACGTTTTGTTGTCAAAGGAGAGGTGAGTAATTTTTCTAAATGAAAGCTGTCGCTCCATTTGAAAATGAGGTGCTTATATTTCACTGAAACATTGGTAATTCTTATGAATCGATACCTGCAGTGTGCTGTTTTGAAAAATGACTTGGGTCAGACTGGCCTCACTTAAAGTTGTTTTATAAGTGTGTGGAAAGTGCAACTCGCTTCACTTGGAAAAAATGAAACTACACCATGAATGGAATTGGAAGGCGTGCGTAGCTCATGACAGTATGTAAGGATTCAAAATTTCTTCAGCCGTGACCCATGATATTTGAAACGCAGGGCTGAGATGATAGTGGCGGATGAAAAATGAGTCTGGGCCCTTAATAATGTTGAAGATTCATGGGTGGTGGTGGGGGGTTGCTAAATGAAATTGTAGTCTCAGTCACTTACTCTGAGAACTGATTTGGAATACTGTGTGCAATTCTGGTCACCACACCTTAAAAAGGATATTATAGCTTTGGAAAAAGTGCAGAAAAGGGCAACTCGAATGATAAAAGGGTTGGAACACTTTCCCTATGAGGAAAGGTTAAGGCGCTTAGGTTGGAGAAACTTAGCTTGGAGAAACGACGACTGAGGGGTGACATGATTGAGGTTTATAAGATTATGCATGGGAAAGAGCAGGTAGAGAAAGAGGCACTTTTCTCCCTTTCTCACAATACAAGAATTCGTGGGCACTCCATGAAATTGCTGAGCGGTCGGGTTAGAACGGATAAAAGGAAGTACTTCTTCACCCAAAGAGTGATTAACACATGGAATTCACTGCCACAGGAGGTGGTGGTGGCTACAAGCATGGACGGCTTCAAAAGGGAATTAGATAAGCATATGGAGCAGAGGTCCATCAGTGGCTATTAGCCACAAGGTATAGATAGGGACTCTGGGGCAAGTGATGCTCTGTCATCTTGGTGCTTGGGGGGGGTCAACAGTGGGATGGCTTCTAATGTCCTGGCCCCACTGGTGGATCTCCTGATGGCACTGGTATTTCTGGCCACTGTGTGATACAGAGCGTTGGACTGGATGGGCCTTTGGCCTGATCCAACATTGGCATCTCTTATGTTCTTATGTTCTTAAATGGTTTTCAAACTTTAAAAAAAACCCTCTGACGTATCCATATTAACTAACTGTTGACATTACAGGTGAACAAACTAGGACTAAAGCCAATCATGTGATGTATTAACTTCACAGCATGGCTTGCACCGAAATGTGAGAAATATTGCCTTTGAGGACCGATTATAAATATGCTGACATAGTGTGTTTTCAGTTGGTGGAGGGAGCAGTATTGCGTTGCGAAATGTTGCTTTAGCATTTTGAATGTTCACACAACCATTCATTAGTTACTGAACTAGACCTGGTATTTGTAGCTGTTACCTGAGTGTGAGCATGACAAAGATGCCACTTAGCTTACTTGCTAATGGATTGAAACTCTGGGTGGTTTGTTTATTTCCTCTATAAGTAGGCGCCTCAGTTTACTTATGAGTCTGGAGTCGGTAGAGAGCAGATGCTATTTGTATCCTGCTATGCCCTCATAATGGGGGGGGAGGTGTGCAGGTCTTAATAGTTAAAGTAGCATTTGGAGACATATCATCATCTTTGGAGAAGATGTATGTGGCCTTTCCCTAATGTATAAGTAACATGCATTCTTCAATTTTGCTAACAAAAGGATGTGAGCTGAAGTCTTCTAAAGAAAAGTCATGTGAGTTTTCTTCAGGTTTACTAAGTGAATCCCTAATGCAGCTGAATTGTATTTCAGACATTAAGCATTCCTCCTGCCACATACCACTAACAACATTTTGTGCTATCTGGAAGCCTAGACAAAGCTTAGCAGAACTTGAAAATTCAGCATGAAATTCTATTTGGTCAAATGTTCCGTATGTGATAACCGTTGGCTGAAACAAGAGAGGACTGTGTGCAGCAACAGGTGCCGGCCCCAGTAAGTGGGGCTGTATGTTGGACCTATGGATGACCTGTTGTTGAGTCATCCTCTGCAGGCAATTTTGTCTGTGTGTGCTGTGGTAGCTGTTGAATTGGGACTGTATGTAATTCTGATGCTGTAGCAGTGAGCATATTAATGCTGTCAAAGCTAATACCACAGCCAGTCTTTGTTTGGTGGATCTGTAAACAGTCTGCTTTCTTCCCCATATATATGTCTGGTGGTGTTGAAACCAGTACGATAGGGTAGTCTGGATCAGGGCTTATGTGTGGGTAATGAGATATTAGAGTTTTCTAGTAGTTTAAACTTGGAATAGAATAATAAACGATCCTGAAGTGCTTATCAGATATAGAGAACTTTTGTATAACAGTGAGCTTCATTAGCATGTACAAATGTCATTTCCAAGCCGCAGTAAAGGGCTCTGAACTCATGAAGCTGCCTTGTACTGAATCAGACTGTTGGCCCATCAAGGCCACCGTTGTTGTCTGTGCAGACTAGTAGCAGCTCTCCAGGGTCTCAGGCGGAGATCTTTCACATCAGCTACTGCTGGGTCCTTTTAGCTGGAGACGCCGGGGATTGAACCTGGGACCTTCTGCATGCCAAGCAAATGCTCAACAGCCCCTCTCCCTTTCACATTTTAGTGAAAGATTACACGTGGTCAATATTCATACATTGATTTAGAACAACACTTTTTCCTTGACAGTAAAGAAAGATGACGACCTTGAAGAGAAGAAATGTATTAAAAAGCAAATCAAAGAACTCAAAATTCTGGATCCAAAAACTGCTCAAAACCTTGGTAAGTAAATAGTTCCACGTATGGAAGTATTTTACAGTTTACTACTACTACTACTACTACTACTACTACTACTACTACTACTACTACTACTACTACTACTACTACTACTACTACTACTACTACTACTACTACTACTACTACTACTACTACTACTACTACTACTACTACTACTACTACTACTACTACTACTACTACTACTACTACTACTACTACTACTACTACTACTACTACTACTACTACTACTACTACTACTACTACTACTACTACTACTACTACTACTTCTGATTTATAGACCACCCTTCCCCACACATCTTTATTATACTTTTGTTCCTTATCATTAGAGCACAACTTTTGCAGTTAAATATTGGTCAGTGTTTCTCAGTTTGTGTTGGACTTCTAACAGATTGTCATCCTCCCTCAACAATAATCAGCTATATAATACTGCACGAGTAATACATTTCTGTGAACACTAAAGGACTGAGAGGAGCTTTGGAACTACACTTCAGACGTTCAGAATTGCCACAAAGCTTGTAAAGTAAAAATACAGCTTAAAAATGCACGCACCTAAACAAAAATACAACTACACATCAGCAGATCCTTCCATACATGTGTGTGTGTTTCCCTTTCCTTCACGGCTCTCTTCAGGACCTGCCATCCTGAATTAGGATTTCGTGAGCCATCCTTCTGTTTCTCCTCTTCTTCCTCAGTTTGCTCCCTTCTCTAAGCTCTCCTGACTGAATGTGTCATTCACTCGTTTGTCCTTTGACAGTAGTCAGTTCCATCTTCAGACATCAAGTACTTTTAGACTTCCATAACATGCGGCTTCTGTTCTTGTGTGGGTAAGCATATAGTACTAAAGGAGAAGGCCACAGAGAGGAAGAATTGTGAATTGACTCTTTCACTGTGCCCAATCCAAATATCAAATGGGCAGGATTTGGCATGAATGTTCCTGTCACCTCCTGTTCTCTGTCTTCTCCACCTCTTTTTCTCCTCCTCCAGCCCAACTTGTTTTCGCCACCCCACTGAGGCTGGGGATGTGCCTCAGCCCACTTGGCATAAGCACATATGCAGGTCGGGCTGTGTAAAACATTTTGCGGACTCAGGCAAAGACGGTTGCCGGGCTGTTTTGCTTTTTCTAGTGCAGCAAAAGCACAGTCATAACCCTTCTCCAGTTTCATGTGCCGATTTCTTTTTTCTTTAGCTATTTTCCTAGGTTCTTTCCGGGTGCCTTACGAAGACATCAGAACAATGATACTGGAGGTAGATGAAACCCAGCTCTCAGAGTCCATGCTTCAGGTACAGTGAATTGCCAGGCAAGGTTTTATGACAAAGAAATCTGCTGTTGATCCCGTAGATTCCCTAGCAGGCCTCATAACTGTTGATTGTATTTGCAGTAAATCTGTGATCTGGATCTTCTCCCTCTGAGAGGAGGACATCTTGATGGGTGTTTCCCACCCTATCCTTAGGGAGGCAGGAACCAAAACTTCACTTCCTGTCCTCTTGGTGGGACACGCCCTCAATTCAGTTTTTGTTCCTGCCTCAGTAGGGAGAGCAGCACGAAGTTGGCACTCGTGCCTTTTTGACTACTTTCTGTTTCTACTGGCTTTCTGCTTTTGGCCTTAACTCTGTAGATGTTACTCCTTCTCTGCGCCTCCTCCCCCACTTGTTCTGTTCTACCTTTTTTCTTTCCTTGACTGAACTCCCCCTGAACCTCCGGCCTGAAGCATGTCAGACCAGGGAGACTTGAACTGATTCCTCTCAGAAAAAGAGAGGGAAAACGCTCTGCCGCCAGCACAACTCAAATGGGCAAACTTAAAGCTGCGGCCTCTACCTCTGCTGGCACTGCGGATCTCACCGCAACACAAGGAGAGCGCACCAAAAAGCGGCCCCATTCTCCGCCCGCAGAGCACGCCGTGGGCGCCATCTTGGATCAGGCGGCAAAGCG